GGTGGGGGAGGAGAGGGAGGGGAGGCTAGTAACCCGGAGGCTTTCACAGTGGAGATCTAAACCAAAGGACTTTTGCTACAGTGAGTTCAAACCTTATCTAATCCTGCAGTCAAGACAATATAAGGAAGCTTTCCTATAAAGTCACCAAGTGTTCCAACCTGAGAGGGACATGCTTGGACGTGTTCAAAAAAGTGTTCAAAAAACGGGTAGATGTGGCACTTCGGGACATGGTTTAGGCTAGTCTACCCTTAATTGGTTTAGTGTGGACTTGGTAGTGTAGGTTAATGGTTGGACTGGATGATCTTAAAGGTCTTTTCCAACCTAAACGATTCTATGATTCTAACTAAAATCTATTTCCCATTTTTAAAGTCATTTTACAGTGAAATTATCATTGAGAAAGAGGCAGGGCTGTTGGTATAAAAAACACACTCCTATGCCCCTTCACTCCATATGCTCCCTCTGCCACCTGCCGGGCCAGCACAGCAGTGGCCAGTACCCATCACGGGTCCCAGAATGAGCATCCTTCAAACTCCTATCTAGATGCTAACTTCATGAGATACAGTCACAGCCAAGGCAATAAAATAACTGCATATTTTCCTAACATTCCTAACCCAACATAAGTGTAGGGTAAATAGCATTATATTTACTCTTTTCTACTGAGATTTTAGTCAAAGAATTTTACCTTATGTCTGTATTTATCCATTTAATCACATTTTACCCAATGGGGTAAAAAGCATGCCTGAGCACCAGGTCACTGGGACCCTGTACCAATTACATCATGTGCTTTATGCCACATTCATTAAAGGGAAAAAAGCCTTTATAAGTACAATTAAAAACTATATTTAAATTAAGATTCAAGCGTACAATACACAATGGTCACAGGCTGAACAGCTATATAATGTCTTTGCTTTCCTCTCCTGTACAGCCCATGGCTCTTGGCTTTACTTATGACAAGCCTGCTCTTAATGCAAAAGCATTTATTTCCTCGGTCTCATTTCTTCAACATATGAATGTATTTCCATACCATCCTACTCAGCAGAACGGCAGTGTTGTTTAGAAAGAGGAACCCAAGACAGACTGTGTTGAAAGGTAACCAAGAACCGCAAGTGCCCACTTTGGGACAGCCAAGATTGGATTTGTCTGCAGAACACTTGATACACTACAGTTTTACTCATGACTCCCACTGCTTTCAGCTGTGCTTGTGAGCATTCAGCACTTCCGCAAGTCAGGCATAAAGAAAATGGACACTGAAATTAATTTCGGTATATGGATTCAGAAGGACATTCTATAGCACAGTCAGGCATTGTTGCCTAGAGGTTTAGCTCTAAAACCTTCTCTTTTCTTCCTGCAGTCCCAGCCCTCATCCATTCAAAGAAACAAAGAAGCCACGTGATGGGCAACACAAAAATAAAGCCAGCAAAACAAAAAAACTGCACACCACCACCTACCTGACCAAAATTTACCCAGGGAGGAAATTTGTTCTGTACTCTGAATAAAGTGAGGCACAGTGGAGACACTGGACATAACATATAAAAAGACTAGGACATGATGCCTACAAAAAGCGATGTTGAATCAAGATGGTATGCTTTGCTACTAGAATTTCCCAATTTGAGGGCTTGATTTTACATCATTTGTGTAATAGTTTGCTGTGATTACTTATTGGAGTTCTCTGAACGTTTTGTTCAAAGTCATGCCAAAAGCAGACACAATCAGGGTAGAGGGGTAAGAGTTGCACAAAAGTCAAGCTGCTCCCCCCGCCCCCCCCCAACTGAGGTTCTGCACTGCGTGGTGCTAGCAGAGTAGTTACAGCTTTCAATCTTTTCTCAGTTACCCTCTCTGAATCACTAACATATAAATCTGCATATGGCCAAAGCAATATAATTTCTCCTTCTTGTGTTCCTGAAAACAACTCAAGTGTTTGGGCTAGATTTCCCCCCACAATCCATGGCTAAAGGTGACTCCTGATACAAGAAGTTCAGCATAATTCATTAAAGTCTGGGAAACTGTCAGGCAATCTTAATAGTAGACCACATTATTACCCCCACCTATAATATTTAGAGGAACACTACTCTTGCTGCCCAGGTTGTAGTTGCAGTCCCCGAGTTACATGAACAAGTCCTGGCATAGTCCGCATTAATGGTACTACCACCTACAGGGATTAAGGAAGTGTAAGAGACAGGTATTTCATCATTCAGTTTACTGAGACTACAATACTTAGTTAAAAATAAAGTAAACACATGTAAGTTTTAAACCTACACTTTTTAGGAAACTATTTGCATGGGAAAACACCTTACCCATTTAATTATCTGCATCATCTAGCTATGTATAGTTGGCTGTCACTATTGCACTCTAAGTTAAAACCAGCCCCCGACTGCTATTTGAGATGGAGGAAATGCACATTCAATGAAAACTAAGAGCCAGTAATAGTGCAACACACACAAGCAGAACCCTCATGTCAGCCACTTGCTCTTACATTTGCCCACAACTCACCCAATGAACTCCAGAAGTATGGAGATATCAAGTTCTGGTGGGATCCGGAACACAGAGCCCAGAACTTTTCGAGGTCTTCCTCTGCTCACTGGAACTGGCTGTGGGACAGCTAAAATATTCAAATAGCCAAAACGCAAACACAACTTGAAATAAAAGCAGGATAAGACACTAACATGCGCCAAGCAAAACAGATGAGCTCATAAGGAAAAAGAGCCCATGCAAGTCATCCTATTTTTTTTTTAATGACCAAATCAGCTCTTTATACATTTCATGCTGTGTATCTGAACCAGCATTTTATTAGCTTTCAGTGTGGCACCCCTCCAAAGAGCTGTTTATTTGCTAGTAAGACAAAAAATAATTAGAATAATCCCTCATCTGTCAACAGACAAGTTCTTATTTTTACTCCTTTGTAACATCCATTATTTATTAAGGGGCAGAAAATAAAATTAATGCACATTTTATATATATTTCCTGGTTGTAGGCAAAATATAATCTATTTTAAAAAAATCCAACCACGATCTGGGTTTAAGTGCTGCCAGATCCATCTTCTATTTTTGTAATTTGAGAACTGTGAGAAGTCACAGTTATCAGACTACCAAGAATCCCATATTTCCAATACTACATATCTTCTTCAGTTGTGAGCTAATATTTCAAGGAAAGACCTTAAGAATAAATGGTATAGTAAATGTTTCCTTAATGGTGTCCTCTAAACTGATTACAGCTCACCTGGTTTGGGCACTTCTAATCCTCTTTCTTTATAGAAGTCATGCATTTGTTTTTTCTCTCCTGAAAAAAAAAACAAACCAGAATACAGAACAGATTGGAATGTTATTTCAGATGCTGAGAATATCCATATAGTTTCCAATGGGCAGAACAGTAAAAGCTTTCCAAGTTCCTACAGACCTTCACCATTACTAGCATTCCATACAAGGCTGGGACACTTAAGACACCCGGACTAAGTGTTTGTTAGTAAAAACGGGGAAGAAATCAGAGAAACTGGCCATAAATCATACTGAAATAGCTGTAAAAAGTAGTATCCTTCTGGTTGTCACAACTGTATTTTTAATACTATCTATAGGCTGTCATGACTCTGTCATGACACCTATAGTCTATATATATATTCACTAGATGTGCATATATCACCCAGTTCACCCAGGTGGACTGTCCAGATTCACTGGCTCCCCAAGTTCAAGGTAAATGACATGTGACAGTGAACACACCTAAAATCAGAAAAATATATGTGGCAGTGAGTAAAAAAATAAAAGCATTTGAGAGAATCAGTCTTAGCAACTTTTTTTCAACGGAGGCAAGTGAACTTATTAGACAGAATGATATTTTCTGTACTCACACAAAAATATGAGGCATGACTATGAAATATTATCTGGATGTTTATCTGGATACAGGGTCACCTGTGTTTCATGAGACAGGGTACATACCACTACCCATAATAGCATTTAGCAGCCAGAAAGGTACCAGTTGGCACAGCTAATTCATTAAGATTTATAACTAAATGTTACAAGACTATTTTAAAGAGCTCAGAGTAGAAACAGGGCTTTGAATTATTCTGTTTTCTGTTCAGTCTTCTCAATCTCTAGATGGTAATAAAATAAAGGGACTTACTTTCCTCCAAATTGACAACTAATTTATAGACGATGTCTTGCAGTTGCCGGTCCAGTCTATTAAAGAGAAAAAAAATGAAAGCGTCTTTGGTGCAATACAGAATGGTTTTCACTAAATTGTAACAGAGGTGCCAAATACGTTGTTGAAATATGATGTACATAAAGAGAAGAGTGACAGAGCAGCACCTCCATATCTGCCTAAATTTGTGTCCTGACAGCAGAGCTCCAACAGAAGCAGCCATGTAAAATTAAAAGCACCACCCTTCAAGAATTCATGAACAGCTTGAGAAACTAAAACTCAATTTTCAGAGTTAATAACTATACCATGTAAAAAAATCTTTGTCTAAAAGGAAATCAAAGCAAACAGTTAGGATCTCATATCACCTGTAACACTGAGCAAATGCATAAAAACACCCAGGGTGGGGGGTAGGAAACCCGAGGAAGGGACACAAACTAGGTAAACCAAGAAACTGAGTATTTTTATCTTCATTATTGAGATGAAGCTTACATAAAGAACACAATATATTTCTTGTAACTGTTCCTTCATTTGAAATAGGAAAGCACTACAAGTCTGTAAAACAAAACATTTAAAAGCAAGCAGCAAAAGAAGAAAAATTATACCTATAAAAATGACATGAACTTATTACCTGATATTATAAAGGGGCTGTGTCTGATGTACAACAATATTGCATTTGGGACATCTGTTGCTATAGTAGAAGTGTCTCACTATGCAGCTTTTACAAACTGTAAAGAAAAGAAACCCCATAAAAGTCTTATGTCCATTATACAATACCATCTGTTTAAGCAAGAGGAGCAATTACACCCAGGCTTCTCAAATCAAATTTGTCAGACACAAAACAAAAGCAAGTCTTTCAACTTTAAAACTCAAGTAAACAGCAGCTCTCTGCCTGTACAGGATACAACATCCTTGAATATTCCATTAGGATTATTCCTATGAATAATCCTAATCCAACTCATGCAACAGTAGGTGTTCAATGTTGGAATTGTGTTACCCAGAACAAGAGTAGAGCTAAGACAACAGAATGCTGACTGCTTCAGACAAAAGGTTTGCTGAAAAGCACCCTACAAGCAGTTTCAGTAGAAAAACCAAGGAAAGAAATTACAATTCTGCCATTCTTATTGTATTTTACATGTACTTCAAAAATTTGGAAGGAAAGCTAATGAGTGGAAATATCTAGAATAAATAACTTACTATTGAATCAGCTCCATATCAGTCTGAACACACCAAACTTTTCCACAACTTTTACCAGGAAGCTTCTAAGAGATCACCACAATTGCACTTGCAACATTATGTTGTCCTTACTAACAGCTGTGCATTTTCCTAAATTGCAAACTGCACTGAATATTACATGGTCTAGATCAAACTAGTAAGCAGTGCCCCGTTTAAAAAAAAAAAAAAAAAAAAAAAGAGGGCAAGAGAAAAAAAAGCTATTTCCCTCAATGTAGTGTTAGCAGCTGAAAGGACTAGGAAGTTGAGATTCTTGGATTCAGGTGGGAACATGGGTGTGGCTGAAAGACCTCCACAGAAAGGGTTTTATTAGCTTTGAGAGAAAATAGTTCTGTTAGCAATGGAAAAACTGTTAACACAACACAAGGACCAAGGAGAAAAACAACAAGACAAAAACATTGAAATCAGTTTTTTATTATCCACCTATTTCTATTCATCAGGCTATAGACTAACTGTCCATGGATGCATATAACCATTTCTGTATCTGAACAGGTATTTCCATGCAGCCGCTTACTGAGTTCTGTGAACTTACAAGCTCACATCAGCAACAGTTTAGGAAACTCTATAGTCCATTATGAGCACGGCCACTCAACTTTCTTTTCTCAGTTACATACTCAAATTCTTAGAGCCTACTTAAAAAAAAAGTATGTAGCAGCTCTGTTTTTGTTTTACT